TCTTAAAACAATTCTCTCAACTATTTAAAAGCATTAATTATTCAAATGTTTGTTTAAAAGTTGTTCATGAAGAAAGAAATGTTACCGCGGGAAAGAACGTCGGAATGACGTCACACGTTCATGTCATATTTTCGCACCCGCCATCTTAGTTGAAGTTTATTGAGGACGGTACAACAATGTCATTGTGCAGCAACAAATGGAATTGTATCATCCATCTGACCTCGGTTGCAGTAAGTTAACTTTACAGTCACTACACGGTTGTTGTTATGTTTATGTACATTTTGATATTCACTCGATCGTGCTACTCAGAAATCGCAAGGTTTTGAGCAGCCGTACACGATCTGTTAGATTCGGTGTTGTTAGGCTTCCAACCGAGAGTATTATGTATGTTGTTGTGAAGGAGACCTAAGGGAGTTTGCACCATATTAATTTTATGTTGGATACAAATTTTATTCAGCTATCAATGGCAAGCAGTATGTTCTTAACCCCCTGGCTGCCGAGTTTTTTTTCAGGCGCATATTTTCATACGGTTTGAAAAGTGATCGTTGTGCGAGAATTCGCGCTTCACTCGCGTGGCCCTGGATCTACGTACGGCTATAAAATTACACAGAAATGTAGAATATTAAATTTCCTATCCGTTGGTATAAATATAAGTGCAACTACCTTGGCGGTTTGAGAAATAGACACTGCTAAATGTTGTCCAATTTTTTTTTTATGCGTTAAAAAACAGTAATTTTATCCGTTTTTATCGGCGCACCGATAAAAGCACTGTGCTACTTAATTTTTAATGTGGCATCTTTAAGGAAAGTGTTAGCGAGGAAAATACAGCTTGATATCTGAACGACATAAGTGTATATGAATTGGGTTTATGTGCTTGTGCATAGCGTTATAAAGCTCAACATTAAAATGACTCGCAATAAATGTCAAAATGGATTTTCTTCTATGACGTCAAGCGGCGACAGAGAGGTCATACACATATAATGATAAGGGGCATAACTCCGTTATGCGTAACACTAGGTCCATGTAACTCAGATCACTTGGAGAAATTTGTTGTGGATACGGACACTATATTTTCGTTATTTTATGTTCATGGTGAACCAAACTATCCCAATTCAAAGTTCCCCAATGTGAGCGGATGCAGTTTGGTAGTTTCACAATTTACAAGAAAAATGACAACGTATTACATGTGAAAGCACGTAATAGCGATTTGGATGGCCCTATCCGATATATAAGTTAGTTCTTAGATTCCCATATTGTCCTGTTTGTGTAGATGTATTTTGACTAATTTTGCATCGTTATTACCAGAGTACTAGCCATATCTTCAAATGTAATGAAATTGCTGAAAATAATACACCATTTTAGTTGGCGTCATTGCTTGTTTTATGCATTTTCGCGACGTCGAAAAAAGACTTGACACTGGTATGCTGTTTAGTACATATCTCACCTAATTTCCTTTAATTGTGTGAAAGGTCTCGGCTTCTATGTCAGAATTTAAGACTCTTTAGACAAAACATAAAATGACTGATTTTTCCATTTAAATAGTGTCCTGAATATATCAACAATTAGACAGTTTGACTGTGTATCTTTTTGTGAGAAACACGCTGCGTACCTGTTTTGCATCAATTTAACGTAAATGAAAAATAACATTTCACAACACCGAATATTTTGTTTAGGATAAGAAATTTCTTTGTTTATGATTATGTAGCTATTTCTCTTCATAAGTATGCAATGGAAGATGCAAAAGATAGCTTTTATATATGGAACTAGTGCGTACTATATATTAGAATATGGATGTAAGATTTGTCCAAATTAAGACATGACATGGTTTATATATTTTTAAACAATTTTCGTGTATAAATATAGTTAGAGTTTGATATCCTGTCATCACAATATTTTTAAATCGAATATGAATTGATTATATTATCGAAAACAATGATAGTGAATCATAAAACGTTTCCGACAAAAGGCACCCTGGCCAATCAATTTACATCATTGTTTTCTCTATAAACCGACACACAAATGTGCAAAAACAAAGACAATTCCTTTAAATATGTGTGCATATACATTTCATACCATATATAAATCATTTTCATTAATATTATCAGTTTTACTTATAAGGTTGAATTAAATCGCCGTTCATTAACCTGTTCATGTGAAACTGCAATATTAGTCCAAATGCATTGAATATTGTACATCATCGGAACTAACGCAATTGCATTTATGGCTACGTTTGATCTTCTAACACTTGTGTAAAGGTTTAGAATATGGTGTATTGCACTAAATATGTCAATTTCCTATGTAAATATGATTCAAACAATCAAAAACTTTCAAAGAATAAAACACTGTAAACCCTATCATGCATTATGATATGATATTGAACAAGGCTAAATGTGGATACTGAAGTCAGTTTCATGAAAAGTATCTGAACTATCATGCATAAAATATACACCATAATACTGACAGTGTAATCGGAAGGATTGGGCGATTGTATTTACTCTTGTTCAACCGACCTTCACCTCAAAGAAATTGCCTAATATGTACAACAATGTTGGCGTGATGACATCACTACCGCTGACCGATTTCTTACAAAATGGCGGCTTTGCTGACAAGGGTACACAGGATTTTCGCGAGGACCCTTCCATTGATTCAGGGATCGTTTGTCCATAAATATGAGATGTAAGTAATCAGAATGATTCTGACTATCTGTGTATTGTTATATGTTTTTATCGTTTTCACTAAAAGTAAGAGAAAAGACAGAAATCCAGATAATTACCGTTAATCGCTTCTCTGGTGGTTTTCCGTCAGTCATGGCGTCCACGCTGCACGGAAACTTTGACAATTTCTTATGAATTATCAAATCATTGCATTGTATCTATTTATAATTTCCTATTTCTTGCTACGATACTCTTTCCATGCATATTCCAAAGGTATTGAGCCATTGCAAGCAATGAATAGACGGATGAATGTTGGAAAATTTCAGAAAATGCTACACAGTGTAAAATAGGTTTTGTCTTTGTTTACATTTCAACCAGCGCAGTCTTTCGAGCACAGCGTTCGTTTTCACACCAAATATGTTTCTGTCTCATTTTATCTAGACAGTTGGCATTGGTGACAAAGACCACTTGCAGTTTGAGTCTAAAATGTATGGGGAGTTTATTGATGCATTTTTCGAAGCTGAATATGAAATATACGTGATGTAATATCGTCTCAATACCGGCCTTCGCGAAGCGTGATTTTGTAAACACTATCCAATATGGCGGAGCTCTCGGCGGCGTTCGTGTAAGTGCATTTTCGAAAACATCCCAACCGATTCTAGATTCATCGGCAACGTTTCAGAATTTTACTTTAGCGATTTCATGTAAAACTGATATGAGTGATCATGAATATGTTATTTTTGAAATTCAATACTCCCAGTAATTATCCGGTTTTCACATTTCAAAACATACAGCAAATAACGCTGTGAATCGCGATTTCGTACTGTGTAAAAAATGGCGACATTTTCGATGAAGCCTATTTTGAAAGGTCATTTTCAGCACTTGAACTTTGTCTAAAATAATAGTGGATGGTATCAAGAAACAGGAAATTTCCCGAAGAATTCGAAACTGTGAAGTGTATTTGTGTGCGTGGGATATTTTTATTTTTATTGGACTTGAAATTGAGGGTTGAAGGGGAAGGACATATATGTCCCTGTGGCATCCAGGGGGTTAACCAGAGTTCATGTCAGGCGGACATTTGTCGCTATTACGTTCGGTTTTCGATCTAGTAAGCGTATGCACAGCTCATAAGCCAATGACACTTATCGTCATTAATTTTGTCCCCATGTTATTTCTGAAATATACATTTTTTAATTTAACATTACACCTTACTATCAAATTTCTAAGCTATGAAAAGTTTGCTCACTTCAGTCGGTGGGAAAAGTTCCATCAAACTTATAACACGAAAATGGGGAATCAAATACTTTCTGGTCCACCTGACTGTGGGCTATTAGTTACTGTCATAGTCTAAGTATGTTATTTAAAATGAATGTTCAGTCAGAAATGACCGAAGCATACTTGGTAAGTTACTGTAACACTGACTAAACTAAATGTTGATCATCCCCATGGTTGTTGTGGTTTTGCTTGTCTAACATTCCTGCGTTATTTTCAGTAAAATGCTAGGTCTATCTTATTTAAGTAAAGTGTTTACATTGTGTATTCTTCAATTTTCCCCAAACAAATCAGTTTATCATTTTCGGACATGTATATTTCTGTCTTTCAGTGGCATTTAGAAGTTGTACATTGATGTCCAAGATATTTTTATGGATTAAACTTCTTTGTTAATTTCTCTCACAACGTTTCGAGACCATTCCAGGTCCCTTCATCAGGTGAACTGGCAGTTAGGACTATGACGTCATAACTGAGTTATGACGTCACAATGCAAGTGACATCACAGTACACTAGGGAGAGTACTGTATAAGTGAGTTTGAAGAGTTAATTACATAATGATGAAAATTCATGCTAAATAATAGAGTTGAAAGTTGAATTGTCAATACACAACAACTGCTAATTACACAAAGGTTACTTGATATCAGGCTTTCCAAAAAGAATAGTAGACTCGTTTTTTCTTTTATCTAAAGTTCATCAAAAGTTAATCAAGAGGTCCCACGCACTTGGCAGGTATACACCTTGATCACGATTAATTGCTGGTTTATGTCTCCTTATCTTGACAGCTTCCTGTAGTTTTCTCCGACGCCAGTTGCTGTTATTTCTCGAAATCACCCTAATATCATTCCACATGATAACATGACTTGGGTTATTTGCCTTGTGCTCCGATATAGCTGACTTATCATTTTGTTTGCATACTGATGACTTGTGTTCAGCAACCCGGGTGTTAATGGGCCTGAGAGTCTCGCCAATATATTGATCGCCACAGCTGCATGGCATATACCAAATACCATGCAGCTGTGGCGATCAATATATTGGCTGCAGACTCTTTGCCAATGAGAAAAAAAATACAGTGATCGAAAACTGAACGAATCTGGTTACAATGCTCGCAACGAAATCATACTGCAGCAGTAACTGTTCCGCGTGTAAGACGTGAATCATGTAGCTAGTGACAATAGCTATTTAAAATATCAATTCAAGTTTGTATTCCAGGTTAGAATGTATAGAAGCGTTGTCCAGTAATCCATGTCTGTTGTAAAGGGGCAGAGTTATTTCCAAGCCAACTTTATACACGTTGGTGTTAAATCTACACACGTTAACCCCCCAAAACTTTAGGCTATAATTATTACACAATATATTTCAGCATCAGACTAACTAGATTTATATATGCTTGGGGAATCTAGTTCAATTTGTAACTTGTTATAATGTGGAACATTGTTATTTTTGTTGCAGCAAGGGCGAAAATGAGACACAAGAATTCCGGCAGATGCAAACAGAAGTGATGGATTTATTGAGGATTACATCAAATAATCCAGGAGCTGTGAATCAGTAAACGTAAGTACATCTGTTAAATATCATTGTCTATATACTTGTTGGTGACGTTTTGGCTTTTTATTGCAAAAATTGGATTTGTACCTGCACTCGGCCTCTGACCAACAAGAGTGGTGGGGTAGTGGTTGCTATGCAGTGTAATTTGATACTATTACCAAATTAGGCATTCAAGAATTTCCATTATTTTCCATTGTGTGCTGGTGTCCATCAAACACTTGCATATACATAGGTGCTGGAAGACTTCATTAACTGATTATTGTCTCTTGATTTGACTTAATACACGTACTATACATTTGTTATCTTTATTTCAGAAAAATGGATAAAGTCAAAACCAAAGAAGAAGATTCTGAAATAATCTCAAAAGTGTAATGCCGCTTTCTGAAAAAAATTAATAAAGAGTGTTGATTACATGTCTGCCATTCTGTTTTTTATGTTCCTTGTTAAGAGTAACAATGTCTATTTTCCATAGACATGTAACCTTATTGTTAACGGTTAGTGTTTTACTGAAAAGTTAAAACCATATCTTGACAGAAAATGTTATTACAACGTTTCCTGAACCATAAACATTCACATGGATAAAAGGTTTTCAGAAGCCTTTTTGTGGTTACTGAATTTTATAACCAAACGTTCATAGAACACACTGATTCTGGAACCATACAAATTCATATGAATAAATCGTTTTAAAAACATGATATGTTTAGGGGATATTTCTTCACATTTATATATATGTTTTGATACACATTTAAGATAGTATTCATTTATGAATTGTGGTACGTGCTATCAAATACGTATTCACCGTGGAGAAGTGAAGTGAGCAACTAAACTAACGGGCAAAAGAAAATGATATTAAGTCGAAATCACTGATATTACAAAACGACAAACCACCATTGTGTAAAAGGAAAGTGAATTTTAATAACAGGTGTATGGGCATGTGTATGCACATGCATGTTACCCATACACCTGTTATCAAAATTCACTTTCATTGCACACAACGTCGGGCCAATGTCGGGCCGATGATGGCATGCTACCTGGGTTGTAGGTAACATTTGGGAGTTAAAATTTACTTACGAATACAGGTTATTTTGTGCGATATCTTCGTAAAAAAAAGCATAGAAAATGTTCAGATGTAACCCACGTATATATTGTGGCCCTTTGCACTTGAATATAGGATATCATTCACTAATGTGTTCATCTGTGGAAACAGCAAGATAGTTCATGGTATCTGTAGGTAACATGATTTTTACCAAATCAGACTTTGATTTTCTAACGTTTTTTCAGATTATTACCTGTAAGAAATATTATGTAACGCCATTGCATTTGAGTACTTTACATATTAATGCTGTAAAAAGTAATGCAAAACATAACCTTGTGTTACATTTACATAAATTGACAGTGTCATTGAAAAGTGTATTCGTAGGTAATGCAAAAAATACCACTTGAAAACAAATTACCAAACTTACGAATTAAGCCATTGACAAAACCATTTCAGGAGATTTATTCATGAATATTTGGCAATCAGATTAATAAACTTCTGTTCATCCAGTTTGACTAGTATTTTTGTAAAATAAAAGTCAAAATGAATAAAAATGGACTGTTTTTGTCTCCCATAAGCCTAATTTTAATTAAAAATAGTCATGTTATATATGACCCGAATCGTCTCACTTGTGCCGATGTGATGGGCACCCTGAAATAAATGAAGGTAGTAATGCTTAAAATTATGGGCCCAAACATGCTGTGTACACTTTTCGTTGCAATCGATCGTATACGCATTTGCTGTATATGCCTATTTACCTAAGTAAATTTTCAGAATTTTCTAGCAATGGCAAGGTGGGTGTTGTTTAGTTTACACATTCAAATACATCAAATGTGTGTTTTTAATATCATAGCATAGGTAATAAACATCATATTTATACATAACATGATTGAATATCGAGGTAAAAAAAACACGGAATTTTATAGGATCAAATTGGATCAGTTATTATACCATCCAGGCATTAGAAAATCTGAAAATGTTTACACTGCTGGGATTCTTTATTACAGTCAGACAAGAACTACCAGGAATATTTTCAAATAACGGGCATCCACCCTTCCTGTTTAGGTCTCATTGTTTAGGTTGAAGAAATTCTGCCAAGGTGGACAGTAGCCCAGTCCCCGTGCCCGACACGGTCACGTGAGTAGGTACCGACATGCCTGCAGCTTGGTTTCGTAATTAAACCGTTGGCGAGAAACATTAATCACTCTGGATCAGTGGCCCTTTAAGTTACAAACTGATTAATACGTTCATGATCGGTTTTCAAATTTTTCCTGCAAAAATCCAGAAAACAACAGAAATTCCTAATTGTCGGAAAACCCAAACCAGAGGATACTGCTTACAAATAACAGTCTAACAAAACATGTGAAACCGTTTAAGGCTAACCCATGTCTTCCTTGCCTGGATGTAACTGCACATTTAAAATCTTGAGAACTATAAATACATAAATAATCCAAAAGCTAGGCAAATTGTCTTAAAAATATTGACACAAACAACTTGAGAAAAAGAAACCCTGATATTAAAAAATTCACTTGGTGAAAAATATCCCCAGACAACAGTCACGATTAGACTTTTTTCTAGTGTCCGAAGATATTTCAAATATAACTATTGACTCATCCATATTGCCAAGATATACATCAGACCACTCTGCTATTTTATTATCCTTTTCTAATGTTCACATTAAAGAGAAGGGAAGGGGATACTGGAAACTGAATACTTTCTATACAGCACAGGTTATAACAAACTAGTGATGGAAATATTAGATGAAACTATAGAAGAATATGCTTTAGAAAATATTCATACAAGAGATAGTGACAACCTCAGTCTTAAATTAAGCATATCTGCTGAACTCTTTTGGGGGTCTTTTCTCATGAAATTAAGAGGTAAATCCATCTCATTTTGATCTTATTTGAAGAAAAGGAAAACTGCAAAAACCAAACAGCTAGAAAATTTATTCAAATATTACAAGAAGAAATTAGGGAAAACTATCAAACTGTCAATGAAGAAATGCTTGCAAAATTATCTAAAGATACCCGAGAACTTGAAAAAATAAAAGAAGAAGAAGAAAATGGTACACCAATATGAAGCAGAATCTAGTGGTGCGATGAGGGCGAAAAACAACCAAATATTTTTGTCTTTTAGAAAATAGAAATTATTAGGGCTATTGTAATGAACAAGATAAATTTTATCATAAACTATTTTATGATGATAATAACAATTGAGAAACACAAACTTTAGACAATATTAACTCCCCTTCTCTTAGCAGCTCTTTTGCTTATAATTTGGATAAACCAATAGAAGTGAAGGAGCTATCAGAAACAGTAAAGGCTATGAAGAATAATAAGAATCCAGGCCCGCGTTTCACAAAAAGCCTCCTAAATTCAGGAGGTCGTAGACCATGCGACCTTGTTTACGACCCTCTTCCGACCTCCTTTACGACCGTTTCACAAAGATGTAATATCCATGTCGTACGACGTGGTCCTAAATCCATGTCGTACATTGTATAAGAGGTACTTTGTTGCATAGCAACGCATAAAGCGAGACCGAACGGGCACCTGCTTATCTGTTATTCCCAAAGTATTTCAAAATAGACATACAGTTTGAATAACAATGCAAATGTTATGTTTTTAATTCAATGTACAGGTTATCTTATCGTAAAAAAGATATCAATAAATGAATTATTTTGGATTTTGTCACTAAATTCCATTGAAAATTACAAGATAAAATGTATAAGTCATTTCCACTAATATTATCAGTTTTACTTACAAGGTTTGAATTAGTGAGTGAGTTATTATTTAACGTCACATCGGCAATATTTCAGCCATATCGTGACGAGGTTTGAATTAAATCGTTGTCCATTAACTTGTTCATATGAAACTGCAATATTAGTCCCAATGTATTGAATATTGCACACTATAGGAACTAAAGTGCATGTTGTAGTTATGGCTACGCTTAATCTACTAACACTGGTGTAAAGGTTTAAAATATGGTGTGATTTTCTAAATGAGTCAATTTCTTTTGCAACTTTTATTCAAACAATCAAAAACTTTCAAAGAATAAAAATGTATACCCTATATCCACGTATGATATGATATTAAACAAGGCTAAATGTAGGTACTGAAATTGGTTTCATGAAAAAAAATATCTGAACGATACGCAAAATATACGTCATAGTACCGGGAATTCTCGTATTTAAGCCCTGGGCTTAAATACGGAAAATCACTGTTCTAGTGATGAAATATTTAAACCATATTTAAGCTTAGGGCTTAAATTCGAAAATGCGCAATATATTGATAAAATAAAAAGAATCGGGTTTTTAAAAACTCTTTATCAGGAAACTGGTCTATAAATTCAAAACTGAATGACCACAAGGTTCAGTTTAACTGCAACTGCATGCACATCATAGGGGTTAAGATGATCAATTTCTGTCACTAATAACTACCCTGTAAGCGGTGTCATGATGTTCTTTAAACGTGATAACCTCTAGAGGCACTACTAAAGATGAAAACGTCGAGGTTCACCATGCGTTTGAAAAGGGGCGCCACTCTAAACACCAACCTATTAAATCCAAATTTAAGCCCATGGGCTTAAGTACAGAAAAAAATCTTGTATTTTAGCCCATGAGCTAAATTTCGCGAGGGCCTAAATATGGGAATTCCCGGTACTTAAAGTGTTATCAGAAGGATAGGGCGATGGTGTTTACTCTTTTTCAACTGACCTTCACCTCGAAAAGGAAACCCCCTTTACCAAATACCTCAGTGTACACAACACTTGCAAGGAGGTCGGAATAGCATGTGAACGCCTTGTAGGTTTGTTCAGTTGGGAACAATATCTCGACATCATGTCAATATCATCCAGAGTGTCGAGCACGTTTGACCTGTCTCAAAATTTCTCAGGTCTTCTTTGTTTTAATCACTTGCAGTGCCATAATCGTTGACGCCATCTTTCTAGTGTTTACGACCTCCTAAAGCATTTACAACAGGTCATTCTGGGTCCTAACTTTTGGGCTGTTTACGGCACAGTGTAAATATAAGAGGTCTTTGTGAAACGGGGTAAAAAAATAAGAGGTGGTCTACGAACTACTTTACGAGGTCGTACCGGTATAAGAGGGCTTTGTGAAACGAGCCCCTGGACTAGATGACTTACCAGATGAAAATTTTAAGTGGTTTTGGCAAGATCTTAAATTTTGGATTTACAAATATGATCATGACGTTTTTGAGAAAGACCAGTTATTAATAGAGGTGTAATTATCTGGAATTCAAAACAAAACAAAGACAGAAGATATATGAAAAATTAGCGTCCGATTTCACTAATAAAAAC